TCTGTTAGATATGTTAAATATGTTAGATATGTTAGATCTAATAGATCTGTTAGAAATGTTAAATTTATTAGATTTTTGGCATAGTAATATGAGCCAATCAGAATCAAATCACATGAATTAGAATTAATGCTTTTATCAAACTCATCCTGATCTTGTAATTTTGTGATCAGAATTATATGATCTTATATTCATTAGAATCATCTCAGTGAACTGAATCCAATGGTGGTTGTTTCATCCAAATTGGTTTAGTATATCAAAAGTTATGATCAAAAATGTGTAAAACTCTTAATGTCAACAATATGTTTCTTCATATTATTTTTTACAATACACTATAAATTTTCAAAAAGATTTAAATCAAAACTATTTGATGATCAGTTCATAAGTTCAGGAATATTTTCTAAAAGAAATGCTTTAACAAATTTACTTATGTGTTTGGATCATTATCTTGTTGCCAATACTAATGTTTACCAACCATTTTTTTTATTTCAGAAAGATGCTGACACACAATTTCAACATAAAATTTCTTGTCTATAATTCATATAAAACAAAATAAGTTTGATTTTCCTTTTACTGAAAAACCACCCTACACTTTAATTTTAGTACAGTCTTTAAGAATTGGACAAATTTGCTGTTAACCTTTCTTATGCCAATGCTTGAATGTATTTTAAAAAAGTTGAAAGGTTGATTCATCTGTAAAAAAAGTTCTGTTTCAATTATCATTAAGGTGAACCTAGGCCCATTCTACTTTCTTTCTTTTTTGATTATTAGTCAGTGTGAGGGTCTTTCATAAAACATTTTTTACATAAATGCCTTCCAATTGTTTGATATAATATGTCAGTACCTATACTTGATAGGTATGTTGCTAAAGTTCTTGTTGAAATAAACAAATCCTTTTTAAATTGCTTCTCAATTGCTTAAGAGACAACATTACTAATTTTTTTTGACTGACCGTTCCCTCTAGCATGATCAATATTTCCACACACTTTTAACTTTTTTATGTTGTCATAAATAGTAGTCCAGGAATACCAATTTGAGCATAAAACTCTTTTGCACTACATACACCTTTGTTTCACAGGTATACTAAAGTTTCTTGCTGGCTTCTTTTTTTAGGTACTGTCATACGGCTATTAATTGGGGGTACAAAGTTACAATGCACTTGCGAATTACAAATCGCTAAAAATAAGTATTCAACATTGCTTCTAATTTGCATTTTACAAATCTTAGATCTGATTTAAATCAAACGAATTTCACATGATTTTAAGTCACATACAATTTTTCCGGTTTTTTTTTGTCCCACACTGTACATACAGTGCATACATTTATTTTGTGTGTTGATTTGCCGACCTCGGCCGACTCACATGTCTGCCTGAAAATCACGTGATTGACCACGGCTTTAGACATCCCCTAAATTTGGAAATGATCTACATTCGCATAATAACTTTCTTGATATCTATATAAACTATTAACCCTAATTGCATCAAAAAAGTAACCCTAACTGCATCAAAAAAGTAACTCTAACGCACCTTTATTTAATCATCCCCTATATTAGGATATGATCGTCGTACCGATCACGTGTCATGTGCCGTTGATTGGGTTATGGTTCATTTTAAAGGCTCACAATTAAATAAATGCAAATAAAAATGAATTAAAAATAATAGTTTTTTTATGACTATTTTAAATGTGAATAAATAATTTCCTTATATTACGCATCAAATTGACATGAATAAATATTAACAGAAGTTCTCCAGACTCAATACACTAAGTCACACGAGTTAAATAGCAAATATTCACATACAATATTAAAATAGATGATATAGTCACTTCAAAGACATTATATTTTACCAACACTCATTTAATCGACATGTTATTTTAAGGACCATTAATTTACAGACAAGTTCATTTTGTGGATAATATAGTACTTGTATAATTATTACAAAATAATTCTAGTCATTGTCATTAGAGTTAGGCCTAGAATTAGAGTTAAGGTTGGTGCGTTTATAAAAAAAAATTTGTCTATAAATTTATCGTCTGTAAAATAACTGTAAGCTTGTCGTGAAATGGAATGTGAAATAATACGGTCACTATATAGAACTAGAAATGTGCCACGTACAGTACTATACGTACTGTACGCCGACCCTTTCTACCTACCAGCCAATCAAATCACTAGATACGCATTGTACGTACTGTACATACTATACGAGAAAAAAATTCGGGTATCGTATAAATGGCACATCTTTAGATAAAACTGTGGACAAAACAGGCACAATTATTACATTACACCTGAGGAAATTTTTTTGTGGATGAATTACAACATTAGGGTTAGCGTTAGAGTAAGTGTATTGTAGTAATGCCGGCCATTGTCGTGTCCATAGACACATAATGTTGTGCCCGTAACAATTGCTTTATATAGATTTTTGATTAAATGAGCAGACACATGATTGAGAGAAGACGATGCTAACTTTGTTATAAAAAATATCTATTCTTCAGATCAAAGAACACATAAAGCACCAAGATAAAAAATACAAGTTATGATAATGCTATACATGCATATACAGTAACAATTATATTGATTGAAATAAATGAATGAATAAAATTATTATCTATAATGGCAATATTTAATCTTCGAGATCACTAATAGAAAATTCAAACTTTACAGATCCCATCGACTGATATGAATACCTAAATTCATCATTTTCTTTTACTTGAACATCATCATTAGTTGAACTTATTGGTTGAGGTGAAGGCTTAGAAACAATTTCTTTTTTGATATCTTCAATATTCAACTTATTTAGTACTGATGATTCGTCAGTTGGAGTTATAGGAATATCATCTAAGTCTATATTGTCTATTGAATCTTCGACCTCATCTAGAGAATTTTCGGCTTCATCTAGCGAATCTTCGACTTCATCAAAGGAATCAGGGATTTCAAAAGTAGAATCTTCATCATCTATGGAGTCAGGGATTTCAAAGTCGTTATCCATGATATCTAGTTTTGAATCTTCCTTACCGAAATGGTCCAAATTCGTTGTTAATGCTAAGTTTAAAATTTAATTAATGTTACTAAGTCGAGACAAATATTATAATGACAAAAAAATTTTTTTTGGTATAATTAGACATACCTTTAACATCATGATAGGTACTATATAGAACATTGTTTGGATGTAATTTTTGCGAACGTGGAGTCTTTATGCTGTACTCATCACCTTTTTCAAATTCCTTAGCAATATTAGAATTTGGAACAAATAAACATTGATTTAACCATGTTCCAATCGCTGAATATATTTCTTGTGCACTTGGCCTTTTTTCAATATTATTGCTCCAACATCTTTGCATTAGGTCTGCATACAATTTTGGAGTATTAGATGGAATCTCAGGTCTTAATCCCGAACAAATCTCTAATATTAAAGACGGATCTTGTGCAACGTCACCAAAAGCTTTTAAACCGGTTAAAATTTCCCACATAAGAATTCCAAAGCTATATACGTCAGCTGCTTGGGTATACGGCTTTTTACATAATACCTCTGGTGCAATATAAGGTAATACACCGAATACTTGATTACTATCATCTTTTTTTGGTGGAGTTGCCTGACCCAAATCACCAATCACAAATCGATACTCTTCGTCACGGCCTGGACCTCTATTTAATCGTTGACACATCACATTGCCACTATGTAAATCACGATGCATAAGTCCAGATTTATGAATTTGACATAAACCAGTGGCCATATCGTAAAGAATATCAAGTCTTTTGATAAAAGTAAGTGAAGAGAAATGTTTTTTCAAATATGCAGACAAATCACCATCGTCAGCTAATGTCATTACTATCATATAAATCTTTGAATCAGGATCGCGGGTTATACCATAAGTGCGTAAAATGTTGAAACGACCTACCACCTGGTCGTTAGACATTAGATGGGATTTGAGCTATTTAATCAGAAAATAGATTTTTTTTTTTATAAAAAATTAATAGGCAAATTAATAAGCATAATGCTTTGTCAATAGAATTACGATATGCACCTCTTTAAAAATCTCACTAGTAAAATCTTCCTCATTTAATTCTAATAAACTTTTTAGAGCGACATTGACGTTAGTATATCTTTCCCAAACTTCTTTTTCAGCATTCCATTTAGTTCTCGGACCGTCAATCCATTTTGCAGAAAACACTTCACCAAATCCACCTTTACCGATAGGTTTAATATTAGTTAAACTAGAATAAGGAATCCACTCTAAGAAATTGAACTTTGTGGTAGCAGAAAGTTGTGTTTCTTGTATAAAAATATCAATGGTTTCATTTCCACTAGTCCAGTTAGAAAAGTTGGATTTGAAATTATCTCGTTCACATGGTTCACACCATTCATCAAGAAGTTTCTGGCGACCACATTCGTTACAGTATCGAATATGGACATTAGTTTTTGTCGAATTTTTTGATGTTTCATTAGCAGAAGATTTAGGAGTAACATTTTGTGCCTGAGAATTTAAATTCTCTTTGGTTGTGTTTTTGATTTCATCAGTATTATCTTTATCATTTTTTTCGTCGTTATTCAAAGTATCTTTGACACTGTTCAAATCATCTTTGACACTGTTCAAATTAACTTTGATACTATTATTATCTTTAGGAGATTGAACCAAAGAGCTTAACATCTGTTCAATCTGGTTTAATTGAGAACCAAGGGCATCAACTTTTCGTTCCAACTGATGAATATCTTTTGGACGATTGTGTGGATATGGAGATGAATTATCTATCACTTGTTCATTATAAGTAATAGGGATTTCAATTGGAATATATTTTCCTTTGTGATCCGATTTTACTTTTACTTTACGAGGGGTTCTTAGTTTTGCATCATCTTTTTTATTATTTATAGTAGAATTGATCGAGTCAGGATTTGTCAAAGGAGTGTTTTTGGTTTCGTCTTGGGGCCTGCCAGATTTACTCGGTTTTAAGGTTAGTTTACGAAGCAAATTACCTATAAAGCTATTTTTTATTGATTTATATCCTGGGCTCATGCACCCATCACGATAACTAGTGTTATTATCCTTCGTTGTAGATGACATTATGACATTGATAAGGAATGATTTATGACTCGTTCATACTAATATTTTTTCAAGTCCATGCTTGAAAGAAATTAAGTATCAAAAGGTCAAGAATGTTACCTATATATATACATGTATAACACTACTTCCATGACTAATTTGGTAAAATTGATATCTCACAAATAGATTTATTCAAATATTTCGTAACATTAAATTACACTTGCAATAGGTGTATTTTTTGTTTAATTCTTTATTAATTGTCAATTTTTACACAAATACAAATTAATTTTTTAAACGTTACACAATATTACTTTCGTGTACTTGTTTTGATGCACCAAATGATAAATGAATTACCGGCTTTTATGCTAGACTTGAGTATCTTTAGCAATGATCATGATTTCAGTATTGCCACCGAAGAATTATCTTACATGATCAATAGTCACATTATCCAGCCGAGTAACACGGTGTTACGAAATTTCGTAACTGATTTGCGGTTCGTATTAGTGATGTCGACAATACTCTTGACAAAACCTGATAAAAATATAAACTAACTATGTGATAGATTTATACTGCTTATATTTTTAATGCTTAAGATTAAACCGTAAAAACTTCATAGGCGGAAGTTCGTCTGATTGGCTAATAAATTCAATTTAATTTTACAACTATTTACTGTATACAGTTTAGAGTACTCTTTGAAAAAACGAAACGCAACCATAATAAAGTAAAAAAAAACTACATAGAAGGTTTCATTAGAGTTATAGACTTCATAGTTTATAAAAAAGATCACGACTTTTATAATTTACTTGTGAAAATTAAAACTTGTATTAGAAATAATTTTTTTTTTATATAAACAAACCATATAAAAAATTTTAGAAAAAAATTTATAGTAAAAGTTTTAAAACAAAACTTTAACCTTTTATTGCACAAAATTTTTTTAATAATTTTCAAAATTTCTTAATAAAGTTAATAAAATATATCTTAAACTATTTTTTTTAAATAAAAAATATATAACTAAAATTTATATTTAAGATTTTATTAAAGAATTTTAATTTTTTAAAAATTTAACGGGCAAATTTGCCTGCTAGACAGATTAAGGGATAGAATCAATTCCCACCCCTATAAAGAGGTATATAATATTTCATATATTAAACAAATAGTGAATATAACCAAGTTTGAAACTAATTATTTATATGGCAGATAATAAATTTGAACCGTCAGCCCAAATAATGGTTATGTACTATATAATTAATAATTAAAAAATTTTTGGAGTATATTAAGTGCAAACTTATTATTTGGCTCAATTTCCAATGCTCTATTGTATAGGTGCAGGAATATGATCGGTGACGTGACCTTTTTTACATTCTGATAGCTGTAACTTGAGATATGAAGATATGTCAAAAGGTCCTCGACTCATATATACCATAAAAACTTGCATGTGCCGTAACAATTGGCATGTATCATAACATCTAATATGTGCCGTATTTAATACATTGTATTTCAACGTTTGATATGTAATATATAATTTTTATGATATAATGTAAATTCCTGAAAACCAAATTTAACGATTATTCACAGGGTCTTTTTTTTTAAAAAAAGCAATAATAATGTTATTATTCTATTACATTCATATAGCATATTATTTTAAATATCGAAATCCATTATTAATAATTGTTTAATATCTAAATAAGTAAAAGTAGTTATTTAATCAGAATCGACATTTAAAACAGAATCAACAAGATCCTCAGGATTAAAGTTCATATTGACATTTTCTTCAACACTAATCTCTGAAGTATTAAAAGAAAATTCAAATGGTACAGTATCTCTTTCTTGAAAGACCGGGTCCCGAAGATTTACAACATTTTCTAAAATTAAATTAGTCTGGGATAATAAACTTAGATCCTCTTCATATGTATCATTATTTCTGTTTGCTTCTTCGTCTACAATATAATTATCAAGACAATCATCAATATAATCATTAATTGTTGCAAGCTTTACTATTTCATGTAATTCAGATTCGGTCAACTCAGCATCGAAGTAGATAAGTTCATTTCGTATATTTGACATATTATATGACCTGATTTTGGCCATTCCTTCAAGCTTGTCAATTTTAAGATGTGTACGTTTATCACCAACAAACCACTTAAGAGTGGAAAATTTCTTTCACAGTTTGCTTGTGATGGTGAAATACTAAAAAGTCTTAGCGCGAGTTCAAAAAGATGACATGGTCGACTTTTGATAGATCCCCACCACAATATCGGAGTGTCCAATCCTTGAACATATGGTAGGTCAAATGGCTTTTTTATAGCATCAAAATAGCAAAATTGTGAAATAAGCTCTTTACATTCTTGCTCAG